CACTGTGCGCAAAAATGTGGGAGAACTGAAGAAATTCTCACCTGAGGTTTTCGATGGTAAATTTTCTTGGAATTTCTTTTTATTATAACTAATTGCATTTGCAATTGCATCTCACATAGTAACTAATTGCGGGGCTCCTTTCTTGAGCCGCATGCATGTTTTAATGTTACTGCAACACTGCTTGCTGTGAAGTGTATTTGAGTCCCCAAGAAACAAGATCAAAGATCAACAGGTCGCCCTGGCTCGGAATAATAATCATACACTGTTGTATTCTTATTGTGACTCTGAGATCGAAACTGCTTTCCTTATTTGCTAAGCGATTCTTTGAAAGGTTTTCTCTTTGCGGGACTCCACATATTTGTGCAGAAATTATTTGTACCTAGTGTTTAGCCGACTTGTTCCTCTACGGCTCTTGGATGAGATTGTAGTGCTCAGGTTTTTTTTTGAGGGGGTGGGGGTAGAGGCACTCAAAATAGGGCCTATGGTAGCTGACACCAGGACTGTCCAGGAGATGGAAACACCAGGGAGAGCACAAAATGTTCGCGTTCTTCCCCAGAAGTCCTTCCCCTCCCTAAGGCTTAGTTCCAAGTACAGTAATTGGCTCAACAATGTTCTCCCTCCTTGAGTGGGCTCCTAACGTTACGAGCGTCCCTTCACGGCTCAAGAACTATTCCTCGAAATCTTTCGTGCACTTGAATAGGACTCGAATCTCCGAAGCGTGTTGCTTATCCGCTCGGTCCCAAATGGTTGGTTCCCTCGTATATCGGATTTTTTCAGACATGTGGGAAAGCTGTGGTTCCGCATCAAGAAAAAAGTGTTTGGTTTTTGGTTAAAAATCTCTCAACTGATACTGGAAGCAGTTTCGAGCTCAGCGTCGGACGAGTGGGTGGGATGGTGTCTACCTCTCGTAAATGACGGGCCGATCTGTCAATCCCCATATTGCTTTGAAATCGGCAACGGCGAGTACTGATAGTGACGTAGGTTGCGGGGCGCGTCCGCCGCAGTCTGAAAGCGACTTCTAACTGATATTTTGTACTTTTTCAGAAATCCACAGCTGCGGTGGTCAGAATGACAGCGAGCGTTCTCGTTACCTCGGAACAATATGCGAATTAATGAAGATATTCGAGACCCAATTGAACCTTATCTACAGTAATTTCTTTACTATTTTCAATAAATTGGTGTTATTTAAATCGCGTAAAAACGGTTTTTAAGGGCAGTCATGCCATCAAACCGGCGCAAAGAGTCTCTCCTGACAAAGCGAACACTGCCGACGATGGTAAACTATATCGTACGTATACCAAATATGAGGCTGCACCTGAAGACAAAACATCGCAGTGTGAGCTTTGACCTTTTCTGATGATTTCTGTCAATGATATTGATTTTTTCTACTCCTATAAACAACCGATCAATTTCAAATTATAGCATATTTAAATTGGGTGAGTACCCAACTTCGACGTCTGATGCCTGAAACGAATTTTCTCATGAGCCGCAAAAACACAGGCCATAGAGATTTTGGAAATCCTTGAGGTAAGTGTTGCCGCTGTCACTTCCTCGAGTTCGCAGTCAAAGTCTGACCCTTGTTTTAGAATCTTTATCGTGCAATTGAAATGTTTGAAGATTTCTCAAGTGAGGAATCTTTCAAGTTTCTTAACGAACAAATGGAGTGGAGGAGTGCCTCGCTGACTAGCTTTTCACGTGATCATTGGATAAGTGAGTGAAGTTTTGAATAGAACCGGCCAGTTGAGCTGGCTTCATCAGCTGTTGTCGATTCTGAACTAGTGCACTTTATTCTATGGAACAATACTGGTACCATTTTTTTCAGAGTACTCCGAGAAGGCTGCGTGTATGTAAAACTTCTGACAATGTCCTTATCTCGGAGCTCGTTAAGTTCGTTTCTGATCTGTCTTCGTCCTGACATTTTTTGGGATTAATTGATGTTTAGGCATTTACACAACAACAGTAGCAAAGATTCCCGGACCATAGTGTTCATTAGAACACGCCGTGGTGCTTCTGCTTTAGCCGAAATTCTCAATAAGCATCCTGTTATGGTATCAGATGGAATTCGAGTGGAATGTATCGCAGGTAGGACATCAGCAATCTCGTCAGACAGAAAGTCTCTTCTAGTAGTTTTTTCCAGGCCTGAATAAAGGAACGTGTGAAACGACGACAAAACGCGAACAAATGGAGAAACTTAGAAGGTACCAATGTAATTTCTCAATTTTTCCCTCATACAAATTGAAGCATCCTCTAAAAAACCTTTGCGAGGAAATCATCTGTAATAGAAATATCCATAGTAATGCTCTTGTACTTGGACGTTTAGGTGTACATGGCTCAAGAACATGCTTTTTATTGAACAGGGGTTAGAAAATGGGGCTTCCCAAAACAGTTTTCATTTCATCCCTGTTTACTTCATCTTCGAGCTGACTCGCAGGAGGATTTGCCACTCTTACAATGCTGTTTTGCCAGGTTCCGCGATGGAGAAACTCGAGTTCTTGTCGCAACATCGGTGGCTGATGAAGGACTGGATGTCGCCAAATGCAACCTTGTTATCAAGTACAATTGCGCAACAAATGAGATTGCGCACGTACAGCGTAGAGGTCAGTTTCCATACATCAAATATACGTCCTTCAACAGTCTTCCAATGAGGTGTCGTTAAGGTCGTGGTCGTGCTGAAAATTCGAGAAGCATTCTCATCACACAAAATCTGAAGTTGGTAGAACAAGAGGAAAAGAATGTTCTAAAAGTAAATGATTTATGCCTCACTGCTTTGGTGTATGCAGATGAATTTGCTTTTTTGCCAGGAACGTTTGATCAATCAAGTGCTTAGTGCCATACAAGAGAACAGAATTGATCTCCAGGCTCGCGTATAAGTGGTCGTATTAAGTTGATGTTTCTTGTTTATTGAAAAGTTGCTTACGGATTCCCGTTCTTATCGTAAAACCAAGAGAGCAACCAAAATGTGGGAAATCGCGTTTATCTCTATGAACGATGTGATGATATTAAGCTGGGCCATAATTATCCGCCGTTTTCATTTCACCATAAGTTTACTAAGAAAACCAAACAAAAACAACAATAAATGCGTAATCAACAAACGCTCTCGAACAGTCCTCTCTGCAACCATGCCTTCATCCCAGGCTTCATTGATTCGCGGATGCAGAAGCATTCGGTTTTGAGCTCACCTTGCACTCACGTAGCAAGGGGCAGTCTTTTTTGCTCACGTATATGCTCCAGAGTGAAGCAGATACTCAACTGTTCTACACCGAAATGTACAGGAGATTGCGCGCTTTTCATAATTTACGAAAATAATCTGCAAAAAATCGAAGAGCTATGAAACCTGAAAAAAAACGGCGGATAATTATTGCCCAGCCTAAACATTTATGCGCTAAAAACGCGATGTAAATCTCCAACTACTTATGCAAAATCAGAATTCGAAAAAACAGTTTAATTTTACAAATACAAAAGTTTTAATCAAAGCCATTCCATTACTTTTATTGTAAATACTACAGTCACATAGCAGCTCGAGGGAAACCCGACGCTGTGTGATTTTAGTACCTGAAAAGGGTTCACCAAATCTTTTAAAATCTAATTTTAATTTTGATTCGAAAGTTTCAGTTTGCTACTCACATACTCTACGCTATAATTTTTCATATACTTACAACAGTTTTAATCTGAATGTTTGGCCTAAGGTCAACTTTTATTCCGACCAACTGGTCGACATCTTCTTCGTCTCGGCCAACGGCCGTCATGTGTCAAACTGACACGCCTTTTACTACTTAATTATATTATTAGGAAATATCTCTCAGTTCAATTCTACTCAATTCTAGATCAATTTCCGATCCAATTGGAACTTTTACTTACATACTATGAACTTTTTAGTTACATGCTATGAGTTACAACTTATTATATTTTCAACAGCTTCAACTTTGAAAGTTTGACCCAAGGTCAACTTTCAATTTCGACCAACAGGTCGACATCTCTCTTCATCTCGGCCAACGGTCGTCATGCGTCAAATTGACGTGCCTTTCACTATTTAAAAGTCATATAAAAGGATTTCTACTGATTATTCACTATAGCATATCAGAATCAATCACATGGCATTAAGACAAAATACAGAATTAAAAAACATTTCAACACTAGTTCTTCATAGTAAAAAAGGCATTAAATACAGTCGAGACATTAATAATAGAATGATATGATTATCCGCCTGCTAATAATATGAATACTGAACGTACCCGATTTATTCACTCAATTTCTTACGTTTACCTTACCACTAACTTCGATATACTTCAGTATATCAGCCAACCTAACCAAAAATCTCAAATCAAAAAATCTCATGTCAAAAAATCTACACACTTTATTCACTTACACTTTCATGAAACCATATACATTCACATGCTTTTTGTCTTCCTTCTCTTCCTTATTGATTCTTCAAGAAAATCCATTAAAAATTCTTTAAATACGGGGGCCATACCTCTTTAAAAATAGGGACTCTTTTGATAGGGTTATAAAAGTGGATACTAGCAAGGGGTAGGTACCACGCCCTCGAAAGGGTCAACAAATTCTTCCTCACGCAAACCTTCACAAATGTTAAACATATTTCAAGGCTAGCAAGTGCCTAGGGCAAACCCCTTTAAACTTCCCCTTAGGTATGTGGGTTGGGCCCCTCACATACTTTCACTACGGCCTACCACCAATAACATAAGCAGTAATAATTACTACCTTAGTCAAGTTTTTAACAAAAACAAGGTGAACGGCTTATACAGCCTAGACAACTTCGGTACCACCAATCATTCTAATCAATGTAGAGCAGGATGCAATAAATGTGACATGATAAATAAAGAAAATTATATTATATCAAATACCACAAATTTGAAAATCAATACATACATAGATAATAATGCAAATTGCGGTAGTGAAAATGTAATCTATTGTCTTAGCTGTTTAGAATGCGGATATCAATATGTAGGCCTGACTACTAGAAAACTCAAAGAAAGAATGACGGAACATATGTACCATATACAAAAGAATGATCCAAATAAATACGTATATAAACACTTTCACGATAAATGTAAGAAAAAGCTTATTTCTTTCACTATACTTGATAATTTACAAGAAAATACAGACAAGATTATTTTACAAAACAAAGAAGCATTTTGGATTAAACTATTAGTAACAGCCTTCCCATTCGGAAATAATGACTGTATAAAAACGTATGGCAACATATCCAATATCATTAATCCGCTCACTAGTTATAAAGCTGAATCGTATAACTTATGATAAACAATGATAAAACTTTCACACGTTATATCAAGACTAGCCTCTCATTTTATATCTATCTACTATTCGAGGAGGCAGGACAAGAGGTGAGTTCAATTTTCTATACAAATTCATTGAATAGTAAACAAACTCTTTCACTTTTTCATGAAAAACTGTAATTATATGTTAGATAAATCTAATTAGCTATAAAAAACTTTAATTTGTATTAAACCTTAATTAACTCAAATACTAATAATTCATTCACGCTAACAACTTTTGAAAATTTTATTTAATAAATACTACAATAATGTAAATCAAATTCTTTATACCTCTCCTCCCTTACTGATGAGCACAGGGAGAGGATACTCTTTCGTTTAGTCTCCGTCTAAGGGCACGTGCGAAACGGAGACTAAACTACTCTTTGAATCCCACCCCCTAAATAAATTTTGAATAAAACATATAAAAATTTTGAATAAAACATATAAAAATATTGAGATCGAAAAATAAAAACAAAAACAGTTTAATTTTACAAATACAAAAGTTTTATAAAGCCATTTTTTATGTCAAAGCTTAAAGCATTCTTGGGAAGCTTTCGGTGCGAGCGCCTGTGTAACACCTGAAATGCGTAGAATAAGGTATTTGGTGAGCTTTGTTCAACTAGAATATTGAAAACTATATTAATTGAATAAGCTGCAGCCACTGGTGTACCGTTCAACATAGGCTATAAGGGCGGGCTTTTGCTCGTGGGAAATCCTACCAAACAAAAGAAAAGTAAGGCAGCTTTCTTAGTTTGCGACTCGGGAGATTAGGATAGTAGGCGATAGGATATTAGGATAGTAGTAGAGTAGGAGATTGCGCTGACAAGATTGGATACGTATCGATTGAAATCGCTGGAGAGTAGTAGATTAGGCGACTCAAGGCGAATCGATCAAGTACATATCTAATCTTGTCAGCGCTCTATCCTAATCTTTCTTGATACAAATACTCTTCATTGTCATGGACGTACTGTCGTATTCTCCGGAGTCGCGAGTTATGAACCCGGCCTAAGGCTGGTGTCAGAGTCCCCGATCCGTCGCAGGTTTCGCGAGATTCGCGCGGTTCGCGCGACGGATCACAGAAACACAAGTGCCCCATTTAAAAATTCGAAACACTGGTGAAATAAGGAATATCATGGGCAGTCGACGTTCAGCCGGGTGTGGTTCACTAGGACAAAGCGACTTTTTCGCGTTTCGCAGCGCGAAACATTTTTCGCTGCAGGAACCTCAGGTCCACCGCTGATCATGTGGACCCGGAGTTCCTGCAGCGAAAAATGTTTCGCGCGCGAAACGCGAAAAAGTCGCTTCTGTCCTAATGAACCACACCCTTCAGCCATCACCATCGAGTAGAAATGGCGGCAGGATTGGAGAGCACCTTGCAGTATTGATCGGCACTTGTGATTTCTGTGACCCGTCGCGCGAATCGCGCGAAACCTGCGACGGATCGCCGACTCTGACAACAGCCTAAGCGTAGTTTGTGATGAATACGGTCTGGTATAGTAATTTCATTTCTACCTTTTTTGTGCAGCAAAACAATTTTAACTTTGAATAGTCTGTACAATGAAAATTTCTCCTAGTGACCCATTATTATTATTTTCCAGGTGCAAGAAGGTCTTACGGAGTTGCTACGCGATATTCAACGTGAGGACGCAAACGTTGCTCAGCGAATAGCACTGCAAAAAGCATCGGGAAAAGTGTATAGGCTGTTATGCAGGTTAGTTGAGTTTTAGTCACAGCTCAAAGAAACTTTACTTGTGAAATTTTTTGCAGTAAATGTGATGCTTTTCTCTGCACCTCCAACGATATCAAAACCTACAAGGGCACTCAGTACTGTGTCTGTGATCCGTCATTCTGGGCGAAAACTCGCCACGAATTGGTGCGTGGGCAGCTGAGCACCACAGAGGAGAAGTTTGCTATTGCAAAGGTATCAGCTTATGAAGGAGGATTTCTGCTATCTGAACGGCTTTCAGAATACTTGTCGAATGTGTGGCGCATCCCAAGAGTAAGTTTCACACATCCGACATGTATTTGCCGATAATTTTATGACGCTTTTTGCACAATTTGTTCTGTGATTATGTTCATGTTTAGCTGTGCTGCGTGAGTCCAAATTGTGTAAATGTCTTGGGAAGGATCATGTGTATCGAGCAGATAATGATGCCGGTTTTGTCAGCACAGGGTTAGTTGTATTGTTTTCCTTGTCTTCTATCACAATACGTGTCAGTGGCAAACACTCCGCTCCAAGCGGGTTTTCGAATTTGCATAATCTTGTCGTGAAACACGGGCAAAGACAGTGCTTAGTGAAAAACAGCTCAGCATTTTTCAGTCTTTACTGCCCCATCTTCAGTAACTGGGCCAGATTTTAATCGAAATTTGTTCATGGCCAACGAATTTTTTCTCAGGGGGTATTTCTCCCCGTCGAACACGGATATCACGTCAGTTTAGTGCGAAATCGCCTGGCACCTGCGCTACGGGCACCGGCGCTATCACGTAAGCCTGCCCCTGTGCTTTTCAGGCCACAGGCTCACATGCAACAAACTAATGTGATATCCATGTTCTGTTCTAACTACCTCTGACGACAAGCTTCCAGCAAATTTGGTGATCCAATATGTTCTGGCGTCTGTTGGCGGAGCGGACCCAGGCGTTTTCGTATTAAACAAATGTGATATCCATGCAGTGCGAGCCAAACTATTTCCGGGAACAACTTCCTAGCCAAATACGCAGTCATGGATAAATTTCGATGAAAATACGGCTCAGTTTTGGGAGAGTGGGCAGTAAAGGGTAAATGGTGCCGTCTGAAATGTCTGAAATTATCACATTTCACAGAAAAAGTAAAGTGTGAGCCGCAACCTTTCACGTAATGAAATTACAGGTTTTCGATTTGATTTTTGGTTTTTTTTGCTGCTAATGAAATGAGCAGGGCATGCTTGTTCATCGTTTTCGCTTACTTCAGATCTTCAATTTTTGAGTAGCTCTATATTAGAGTACGACACTACTAATCCTTTAAAGGCACAACCCAGGCAGAGGTCGTGTGAACGCTTCTCTTCGGTCTGTAGTATAGACCCCTAGAGGACAATCACAAATGTGGCGTTCCCGTGCACGGAAACCAACCGACAAGAGCGCTTGGGCCTTGCAAAGTAAGCTGCTGAAGCTGCAGATTTTTTCTCTTATCAGGCTGTTGTCTGGCGCTCTCTCATCTGTAGCGCTCTCTCGCCTCATACTCTCCTCTCCGCGCTTAGTCTCTCATTCCCTTAGCACAGCCGATTAGGAAGGTGAGTGAGCCCTTAACCTAAGCGTTTTCGACGGATTCTTTTCCTTTTTTCTTTACTGCCGGCCCACTTCGCACCAATACATTCGCATTCGTGTGCAAGAGCCACACCAATGTGATCCTGGGGCATGCCTTTAAATCGCATGCTTTAAACTTTTAATAAAAGTGTAACAGCTAAATGGACCAATATGGTGCGTAAAACAAACCGAAATCCATGGGAACGACCGTTAGGTTGCTGTCAGGTCCGGATCCGTCGCAGTTTTCGCGCGATTCGCAACAATCGCAAGTGCCCCATTTGAAAATCTGAAATCACACCTTCATTTAGCCGTCACCATCAAGCGGAAATGGTGGCGGGATTGAGAGTACCTGACTCTGACATTAGCCTTATTGGAGTCTAGCATAATCCCTATACATATATATGAAACTCTATGGCTGTCTGTTTGTATGTGTGTGTGCGTGTGTCACGAAATTCATAGCACGCGTACCAGCAGTCAGTTGGAGTTGATTTCAGGATATGATATAGGGGTGGGACGGGAACATATTTGATGGGGACAGAAAGTGATAACGGCTGATATGAGCTGATAAGGAGCCTTCAGTGGGGAATGTCACGGGAGTTTTTATCCAGATGTGGGATAAAAGGACATCTCATTTCTTTGCGATGTAGTCGTGCAAATTCGACCGCAAACACCCCATAAAAAGTTTTTCGATCGCTAAACCATCCCAATATCCCAGCATGGTAGATGTTTACGCTGAGGGCTGATAATAAGCAGCCCAAGTAATTGTATTAGTTATCCAACGCTCATTCGGCTGCTAGACTTTGTTAGTTCTAGAAAAATGATGGATGTTTATTGGTATTGACGAACTATAAGAAATTGCTGCTCTATCATCTGATTTCCCGGCTATACTCACTTTTATGAAGCCTATGTTGACATGCGCGCGATAGCGGGCGGAGCAAAACTGGTATAGCAATAAAGGGCAGCGAAGTATTAATTGTACAGTCGAAACCTTGTTTGAAAAGTGAAAATGAGTAAAGTACTTAGTTGTCAGGGGCTGGGAGCTCCGGGAGAGCTTAAGGATAAGCTAGTGGAAAAAATGTTATGCGGTGAGGAGTTTAAGAGACTCCCACAATGAGTTAATTTGCATCAAGCTTTTCAGTGAGGAAGATGAAGCCGTTCTTACGTGCCACTGTTGCGGATTGAAAATTTGCGACCAAGGCCTTAGAGCTTTGGCAGGGCTGCTCCTGGCTGCCGCTTTTTTTTACCCGCATTCCAACAATCTACTTAGCGAGGTGTCTGAATCATTTGCTGCGTTATGCTATGTCGCCCATTCTCTCTCTTCAGTGCACCTTCATCGAAGCACTGTTCATCTCACAAGAAAGGAAGCCTTCAGTATCATTATTTTTGCAGGTTCTTTTTTTTCTACGCTGATGTTCTACTTCGCACCTCTTCTTTCATTTCTTGTGACATAAATCACTCCTATTCGATCGGTGCTGCATGATTTAACTAGGATACCACTGAGATAGTTATACAGTGACGAGCCTCCCCCAAATGCCCGACTTGCTCGCAAATCTGCAAGATGTAAGCCATAAGTTCCGATTTCCTCAATGCTAAGTTCTTTCAGCGTGCGTATTTGAATACTACAATGGAACTGAGCCTATTCGAAGGACTGTGCGCAAATGGATCACTGTAAATCTATAACCAAGTTTCTGAACACACGCACCCTTGAACTAAATGTTTTTTTTCAGGTCAAGGAAGAATTTTTCACTCCGGATGAAATTCGTAATTACGATTTAGCCGCCATGAATGAGGCAGCGGTTAGACCTAACATCAAGTCTGAAGGAGTGGCTGTTCGTCTTTTTTAAACACGTCGCTCGTAGAAATCTCGGTGATATACTTCTTGTTACGGCCATTTACTTCAAAGTGTTGGGTATTTCTGCGAATTCTTCTGTTTGGGTCAAAAATCTGTTGAACCTGATTTTCCGAATGCGCTGGCGTGGCTTTGTACGCTTCGAATATGAGTTGCAGCAAGGCAGTATGCGACCTTATGTTTGTAGGCGATTTGTCTACTGAATGAGCGCTTCCGGGTAATTTGCTGAAATCGTGGTGTCGCTTAGAAACATCGGGTTTTACATGAGAATTTCTACGTTGTTGAAAAATGCCCAACAACTGCGATTTTTTTTCAGGCCACACGTCTTCAGCTGGCGCTGTTCTCCTTTTTCACGCGTTAAGTGATTCTTTGAAAATTTGAATAATTGCTTGGGGCTGTCTCAAAGGTACACCGCACGATAGAATAGGTGTGGGTTATTGCTCTCAGAAATCAAGATAATAGTGGTAGTTCTTCCATCAGTAATTAAAGCGAATGAAAAGAAGCTGCTAAGTATCTTCAAAACCACAAAGCGCGCTTTTCAAGTGGGTGGGGTTTTCATTCAGCCCCGTGTCGTTGTCTAGCTCTCCTAACTTGGAGGTATTAATAAGATCCCACCCGATTCGGTTCGTGGTTAGAGAAGTTTCAGAGGTTCGTGGTCAGGTCATGGTAAATACGTTAAAATTCAGTATGAAGGCGGGGTCAGCTATGAGGCTCCAGGAGGGAAGAACACAAGCCTCATACATCGGCTATACGCGATCAGCGTGCAAAGTGATTTTCAGGGTTCCTAGTATTTTGCTTTTTTCGTTACTAGTGGACCAATTACCACCGCAGCGTCTGCCCTAGCCGTGTTCCGCCCATTCTACTGGTCTTCATTAAACACGCTTTTTAAAACCTATTCTAGTCCTAAAGCTTACATTTTCATAGTTGTCAACTAACCGGTTTCACCTCTTGCATAAAATTACTCCAAGAATATGAAGGTATATTTGATATTTGCCATTTACTTGTTATCAACTAAGTTGCGCTTACTTGTAGTGTTTACTGGTATTTGTTGATTTTTTGTACTATTAGTGGTCACCTTATGACTTTGTCCAGAAAAGATATTTTTACTTTGAATGTTTTACTTTGCTTCTTACTTTGTATTTTGTTACTTTGTTTATGATGCTTGCA